AGCAGAAACAAAACAAAACAAGCACGACAAAACAAAACAAGCACGACAAAACAAAACAAAACAAAACAAAACAAAACAAAACAAAACAAAACAAAACAAAACAAAACAAAACAAAACAAAACAAAACAAAACAAAACAAAACAAAACAAAACAAAACAAAACAAACAAACAAGCAAACAAACAAAAAACAAGAAACAAAAAACAAAACGATGAGAAGGACAGATTTTGAAATCCTTAAAGAGATGTTTAAGGTTGTCTAGTGCATATATAAATAGTCAATTAGCGTTATGCACGAGACTGTAAATATCTCGTAAGGACGGAACTCAAGAGTTGCTATAAGCATAGTGGTATTTACTTGTATTTACAAAACGGTATCGAATGGTAGAGAATCTAATCAAAGCAAACTGCTGAATTCACCTCAAGAAAGACTTAATCCAAAAATGAACATTTTCACAGATTTAGGAAATGGCTGGCTTCGTTATGGAGATGCTGCTATCAAACTCTTTAAAGAGAAAAAAACCTGGGCCGACGCACGAAATCATTGTCAGTCATTAGGTGGTGATCTTCTCTCTATTACCAGCTCACACGAGAATGACTTTGTAAATGATGTTTTTGTGGAGAGCCTGAATTTGACGTACATTCAGGAAGGTAATGCAGTTGTTGTTTAAAGTCGAAGTAAATGTTCATAGATTACGTTAAACTGATTTTATATCTGTTTGTATTGTCTTTAGCTAAAAAGTTCACCTTGCCACACATACATTTGAAGCTTAATGGAGATGACTCCGAAGAGTAAGTGTTTAGGTTCTTAATCATATAAGTCATGGTCAAGCTCTAGTTGAAGCTCCGGACCTCAAGAAATTCCTCGTCAAATATAATTGATAAGCCAGAGGTTGGACTCACTAGCACGGAGAAGAGCACTAGAATTACAATCCTGATGATGGCATTTCGACTATAGCTGAACGAGAGCTGTGTTCTTCACAATTTATCATTCGTGTTACCGGCGATGAAAGAGCTATTATAGCACCCATATCAAAGAATTGCTTCACAAAAGTTGTTCTTCGTTTCGTAGCCATATACTTCGTTATCGTACTTGGAAGTACGTTAGGACTGATATTTTTCGATTTTCTCGACATTGAAGGCATGAAATCGTCTGTACAGATATAATAGCGAAGACACTTCTGAACAATCAGCCGGCCATTTTGTTTGTGCCCAAATATGGCATGGATTCGCTGAAGGAAGCCCAAACCTAAAATGCAAAGCGATCCCGCACGAATAACATACAATTCTTTAATAGAAACTATATTTTTTTCTTTCCTTTCTTGACCCATAAACAGGGTAAAGTTTATAACTCTTTATTATACTTTTGGATAAATCAGAACGCGGAAGTGTCAATCCCTTGTCTAAAATTCAACAAAAACAGCCAAATCAATACATAGATGCATGTAGATAGTTTTGCAAATACAAACCCATTTTCAATGTCTTTCATTAATCAGTAATTTCTATTTTCAGGTTTTTCTATCAATCTTTTCAATTCATATGATTACTGGTTTTTGCAGGATATTCGAAAAAGGAAATGAAGTTAACTACACGAACGATGGAAGAGAGAAAGCWCTTTATCTAGATGGGCAAGTGGGTTATGCTGGAATGCCATCCACAAATTTAAATCCAGATGGCTTCACCCTACTTTTTTGGTTTAAAGTATTGGAACCTCTTGAGTTGGCGTACATCTTTAGAATGCTCAAAAATAACATTAAAATATTGGGATTTCGTTTTGGAACTGGTAATTACGTAAATTACATAAAACTTTCTTACGAAAGCACAGATCTTGGAACASTTAGGTAAGAATTACGTTATTTTTAACTAATTAACAAATTAAACTATTTGAGAGTATTTGCTTTTCTTTGATGGGCAAGTTTAATCAACCTTGACTCCAATCTTTTACACTCTGGTCCACAAGTACAAAGCTCGATTCTATTAAAAGTCGGATCATGTCACGTAGCATAAGTCAATGAAAAAGACTTCATCAGTCTTTTTTCAATCTCTTCTCAYAGTCCTTTTCTGATAATGCAGTTTGCATTGCGTGATGGTCTAGATTAGGTACAAACATCCTTTGTTCATGCTGCCAAATATGGCATGTTTGACTAAATAAAGACCATAATGCACGATGATTTTGTAGTTCAGAAAAGGTCTATTAACATCTGATTTTCATTTAATTTAGAACATGTGAGATTCGACGTTAAAACCATTTTAACTTAAAATACTTAAACTTCAATCTGATGTATTTCACTGTATGGTTATYGAATTAATAAAAGCACTGATACCAAAGAGCCCGTAGTATTGTCCTKAACGGTTTGATAATTTCATTCTTTTTTCAAATGTTATTGAAAAAAAGAATCTGGGATGAGTTTTTTTAGTTGAAAATGCTAAAGCGTCCATGCCGAGARGAAAAACCTCACATAGTGGCAAGAATCAAAGTTCGAGGTCGCCTTTGCATAATATAAATGCTGCTGTAAAGTTCAATTTACTCAATACTTGACGCCGAACTAAAACTATGCTACAAATCGTTAAAACCTTGGACCATTCCAACGAATTTCCTCATTTTAAGAACGCCCACAATTTCATCCCCCTAACCCCCTATATGCAATGTTGTCATTGAGCTGTTACCATAGTACACAACCATCAAAAACATGACCCAACATTGATGAAAGGAGGTTAAGTGTGAGAACTGTGAAAAAAATAAGTTGAGAAAAAAGTTAGGCTGGAGACAAATAAATTATGTTTATACGCAGTTTGTTTAATCAACCATGGATAATTTTAAACTTCTTAATTTTAAAAGTAGTTTCATTTCAGTTTGAATGCGTTTTTGTTTTTGTTTTTGTAACGTCTTTGTGTTCCCTAAAGATGACCGCTTAGGTCGAAAGCTTGGAAAGAAGTTTAAAATTATTCATGGTTGATTAAACAAACTGCGTATAAATATGAAAAATACAACCAACAAAGATCTTTTAAAATAAATTATGGTCCAAGTTTTTTTGCAACGATTGTAGTAACCATGTAGACTTTAAATATGAAGGCGCAAGAGTTACAGACAACCACGCCAACCCCTGGGTCGCTCGTAAAAGAGGCCACGTGAATTTCACGCTCCAGGTTATTATCACGTGAAACTTTAGGATTATTTAAGCTTAAGGGCGAAACCCCTAAGAAACTGATCACCATTTTGTTTAACTTGCTGGAGGTCTTTGKTTTCTCCCAATATCACAATCAGCTCTGCGAGGATCGCTAAAAGTTTATGCCTCAATCAAATATTTTTTCCTGACGAATCAAAGGTATGCATAGTCCAGCTGGTAGATTTAGATATTAACTTATTTAACGATCTTCTTTCTTATCTTTGTATACATAGAAACATTTTAAAATAATACTACTTCTGATAGTTTGTATTTATTTCAATTAAACAAAAACGTTTGGGAATATTTGGAAACTAGGACTAAAGTCTGACTCGACGTCTTATTTTATAAGTTGAACTGACTGTCAAGGCCAGTCCAAATAGAAGGATATAAGCCTTTTTTTCGAGAGTTTCCCCAATATTGCCAAGTTAGAAACACATTTTATAAAATAGGAATTGTACCCTTTAGATTTTTAGCATGTCTGTTGTGAAGCGCGCCAAGTGAAAAAAGTTAATTTTATTTAATACTGGATTATCGAGTCAATTTATAAAGCTTTTATATATACACAGTGATTTGATCCACCATAATTTACGACTTCTTGAAAAACCATAAAATTATCAAATGCTGAAAATCTGTTTTTGAGAAAAAAAAACTCATTTTCATTTTCTTTGTTTGAGGATGTTCTAAAACGCCGAAATCAAATCTTCTGAAAATACTAGAAACCATTACCTCATGCTATGCCAATTGGATGGCATTGTATTGAGAACTTTTATTATGACAATATAGTCAAGATGGATACTAATTGCAAGCTGTCTCAAATTTTAAAATAAAGGCATAAATGTTTGGTGATTTKATTGAAGTCAATATAATTGCCCTATTTCATTATGATGTCACATCAAAACATTATCATGCTTTCATGCTAAGGATTATGGTCGCCAGATGGAATCAGAGCGGGTGATTGCATATCAAATAAAATGTAGATAGGTAATCTTTGATAMATGACWCATATCAAAAYATGATACATTGAAATTCTACTTTYGGAGAAAATRTAAAAAGTTTCAAATTTGCACTGTTTTGGAGCAWCTTTCCCTGATGTAAACGTACTGTGACGTCATTATGAAATAAGGCAATTAGGCCATTGTTACTCCCACTGCGTGAAGTTTTGTGCTTTGACTTTCTCAGGCTTGTTTTCGATCGTCGCGAGATAACATGAACAAAATGTTGTTGTTGTTTTTTCACTTAGATTAAGGTCAAAATTAACTTTTCAGACATTTCAAATGTTTTTTAAAACTTAAAAGTTTGGAACTGGCAGCAGTCAAACAACATAGCACACGGCATTCATGTAAAACAGAGTTATGTTAGTTTTGATTAGTATTGTATTTTGTTTTTAGTAGATTTATTACCTTTATTAGTATTTTAATGTATTTTATAATATTTTAATTGTATCTGATGAATTTACCGTGTTTAAATAAAGTTACTATCTATAAAAAGACGATGATGCATAAAAAGCCCTGACTGATAAAACTGAGACTGCATTCAATTAAGTCACACCATTAAATCCAAGTTTCTAGTCTAAACTTATCTCTCTTCAAGTCTTCAGCCTCGTGAAAGCGTGATCATATGATGTCATAATTAGGAATCTAACACTCACCGAGCCACTAATGCACCCGACGAAAAGGCTCCATCAACATTAACACATCAACCGACTCACCATCAARACAATACAGCCAAAATCACCCAAAAAGTTTCAGTTTTCAGCCATGAGATTTAAGGATAAGTACTTAGAATTCCTGCTTATTACCATTTGTATACAAACTCTGCATTGCTGTGAAACCTACCARTTTGTTWCCATTGACAACGGAAAAGCTCTCGAAGGTCACGTGATCAAAACCGTCATAAAGCACTTACGCTWCTGCTGGAGCGATTGYGTTTGGTTGCCATGGTGTTTTTCGATAAAYATYCGACAGACAGGCGAAGGGATGTTTGAATGTGAGCTGAATAACTCTAGCAAGAAAGSMAATCCATCYAAGATGGCGCCCAGAGAAGGATGGTCTTAYMAWGAAATGAAACWAGTATGTTTTAAATTTATGACGATTAGTACGGAGAGGGGGAGGGTTGGAACAGGATGTAAACAGATTGAGTACTACTAACAAGTGACAAAATGTCTGATCTTTCCGATTTCAGGATTTYAGTCTGAAAAACTGCAAAACCTACGAATGTAAAATGAAAAAAGGTACAATTGATACTTACGCCTTTTAAAGAGAAAGTGTTCTTTAATCTAAAAATGTTTGCTGTATGCACAGAACGATTTTTCAAGTAATGAACGTTTCAGGAAGCCTTAGAAGTATTATCRATCGAGCTACGAGCAAATATCTGTCTTGTGGAGCAAACATGAAACTGAACAAGTACCGAATCGAGGAAAAACCGTCACAATTGAAACATTAGCCAAAAGCGTCCCTACAATTACTACAATAATCCCTACAATAATCYCACAAGGGTAAATTAAAAAGTTGCCTATGGAGACCGATATATTAAAATAAGYTGTTCTTTATTTACAGAYTTAGGCAATGGTTGGTTTCGTTATGGAGATAGTGCCATCAAGCTCTTTACAGAGAAGAAAAACTGGACCGATGCTCRTAGCCATTGTCAGTCATTAGGTGGTGATCTTCTCTCTATTACCAGCTCACACGAGAATGACTTTGTCAACGATGTTTTTATAGAAAACCTAAACTTGACGTACGTTCAAGAAGGTAGCGATTGTATTCAATACAGTCAATATACAATAACAATTGATAAGTCAAACTATCTTCTTATATTTGTGATTGTTGATGTTTTCTTTAGATAAAAAGCTGCCTTTTCCCTATGTCCATTTTAAACTTAACGGAGACGAGTCAGATAACAAGTAAGACTGTTAGGCCTACAGTGAAACCCCGGAATTACGACCACTCCATTTATCTGTCAGCGAATTCCCATACTTTTCTCCCTAATCAATAAGGTTGTCCGGATTAACGAGGTTCCACTGTGCTATTGTTTCGAACATGCGTCATTATTTCGAAATTTGTTAATTCATAATATATCTATGATATGATTTTCAATGTCAGATCACTCTCAATGCCGCATAGTGTATAAAACTTTGGGGTTTCATTATCCCCTAATTCTCCCAAAGTTTATTACTGAAAACGATGAATTAAAGATGCCGGCCGTATTTTCAATGTCTATTCATATTGCAGATATTGGTTTCCCTTKTTTGYAGGACACTTGAAGGTGATCGAGTTGATTACAAGATCGACGGAAGAGAAAAAGCTTTATACTTAAATGATGGACAACCGGRAMTGACGAAAATCCCATCCATGTATCCAAACCCAGCTGCTTTCACYCTTCTTTTTTGGGTAAAACCCTTGGAGCCGCTAGAGTCAGCATACGTACTAAGAATATTCAAATCAGCCAATGTTGTATTTAAGCTTCAATWTGAATCTTCAGGAGATGGAATTGAATTGACTATCAATTACAAAAACCTTGGAAAAGTTAGGTAAGATTTCAATTATTTGGTGTACTTGGAAAGGCAATGCACGACTKTGCCGTCTTTTTCAGTTTAACAATTTATTTTGATTTTTTTGCTGTCTAAAGAGGTTATCAGTTATTAACCGATCGCAAGATTTATACGTAAATACGTAAAGTATTAGAATGAGCCGGGTCTTGACCTTGCAAAAAATGACCGAGGTATGCCTGGTACATTCCTGTCAATACCGAGTAAGCGAGTTTGATAAATCGTTTATAGTTAGCCACCCCCCTTAATTTTAACTCCACCACTTACATAATTATGCATATCACGCCGATGGGGGTTTTAACCAGTTTCCCACGGTACGAGATCAGAGATGTGTTTCTCAATGCACAACATTGTTGCATGCAATGTCTTCCAGCTCACGGTTTTAAAGGCCAAAAAGTTCGGACAAGAATATTCTATATTGCTTATCAAATTCTTAAGCTGATGCATATTTTGCTAAAAAATCAAGATGAAGTATAATTATTTATAAAATAAATCGAAGTTAAAAGGACAAATCAGTTGGTCATATAAAGATGAGTTCACGGCAGCGATTTTCGATTTAATTATATCCATTTTGAAATCACTGGCAAATCTAGAAATCCCGCTTCTCGGTCGTGCGATTTTGTAATCGCGCGTTTGATTTAAGACCAAATTGCACTCCACTCAGTTTTATGAGTTTGATAAATCAACATATTGAAGTAATAGCTAATTGCTGTTTACTTATTAATCTTAAAGCTTCCAACCAAATGTTTGGCAGTACCTTTGCGTATCCTGGAATCAAARCACAACAACGGTTCTCTTTGGTAAAGACGCCAAGTGGATTGTTAAAGATGATAAAACGATTACATCAATGGACACACTWAAAAGTAGCTTTCGTTTTGGCCGATCTTCTAACGTCAATACCCATGGCTTCTACAAGCATTTGGTTCTCGTCAACAGCACGATTTCAAAGCACGAAATTCAGACTTTTATGTGTACGTATRTTTCTTTTTAACAGCTTTATTGGACAAAATCTTACAATAAATCTAAACAACAAACAACAAAAAAAAAAAAAAAGAAGAAGAAAGATAATGAGCCCATCAGGGTGAGCACGAAACGGAAACAAGTCCATGCGAGGTGCTGCCCTTTAAATGTGATCTTGTTTAAATGAGTTTTTTCATATTATTAAAATGTTGACTCCAAACATCCCTTCGCAATGCGCTTCCATCCGTCATTTAAATAATAAGTTTTTAAGGTTAACTGAAACCTATCATTCTAGATTGGCATGAGCAAGGAGTATGGATTGGTCTAAACAACCCAGAAGGAAGTGATGGCTTTAGCTGGTCTGATGGTACCCCTGTGGGGCAGTTTATTAACCTACCAGACTACAATCCAGAGCCCAACAAATCAGGAAGAAAGTGTGTTGCCATGGCAAAGGATAAGAAATGGTTGGATAAACACTGTGATTTGAAGTACCCATTCCTGTGCGAGAAACCTGCACCACCTTAGAGTCTATTTACGGCTAAATAAACTTGAGAACGTAGCTAAATATTATACAGCATCTTTATTAATTACTAGTGAAGAAGAACACTATTTCCTCGTAAAAATGACTAAATTTTAATATCCTTAAATTGAATTATTTGAATAATTTTTTACTTTGCTCTTATTTCATGCTTCGGAAAACTGAGTGCCAGGATTCAGTTTTTAAAATTCACATATCTGTATCTCAATGTATAGCTATATTCAAATAATAAAGCACTGATCCCAAAAATCCCATAGTATTGTCCTAAAAGGTGCGTCATTTGATAGCGCAAGGCCATCTGATCTTAGCCTATATAGATACAAGCCCATATCGATTATAAAAAAAAATCAATCAATCAAAACTGAAAAATCTGGGATGAGCTTTTTGTTTTAAAAACTAAAACTTGGTTGTGTTCCCAAGAAGAAAAATCTCCGTTTACTGGTCAATGTAAAACTTCCGTAAATGTTGGTACAAAGGCTAAAGACGACGAACGAAACATCAGAAAGTTAACTACCCTGATAACTCAACTTTCTTTTCCCAGTCTTCAGCCTAAGCAAATGGTTAATTAAAAAAATCGTTTTCGCCCTGGCGAAAACATACTGCTGTTTCTCGCAAAACAAAACAACAGATTGATTTGAATATACGATTGGTTACGAAGTATCGACGAGGGATAACGATAAGTCATCGGAGATAAAACGATGTAGTTCCGAATTACATTCACACGCACTCCAAGCGATAGCATAGTGGCTTGAGCCTCGTTCCGAGGCACTAGCCACAAAAACAAAAAAACAAAAACATAACAAAACAAAACAAAACAATGGAGTTGAATTAACTGCGCGATTGGGAGGAGTTAGGAAGAATACCCTGGGAGATAATCAAAATTTTGTTTAACGCGTACATATCGTTTAGCTGGATGTCTTGGGTTCTCACTGTATCACAATCATCTGTGCGAGGAAAAAGCAGCGATCGCTATAGTGCATGCTATCTGAAAGGTTTTTGCTGAAGCTGATGACGCGAAGGTATGGATATCATTTAGTTATATGATCCCTTCTTGTCTTAGTACACATGAAGCATTTGAAGTATCAGAATGCACCACATTTTTAGATTTTTAAAATATCTTGCCTTCATTAGAATAAAACAAAAATGAGACAGAATCTCTTCTTGCAACATATTTTCAATGAATGTCAGAATTTAGCGCTGTCAGGACAAGCTATTATGTAGGAGGGAATCACGACGTTTCAGTTTGAAAGCTTCCTCTTCCTTTTTTTAACCCTCCATTTTTTCTTTTTTTAATTAAAATTATATTTGGAAGAATGGAAGTGTTTCTTTCAAGGTTTTTAGCCAGTTCGTTCTGATGAAAATGGAAAGCGTGCCAACTTAAAAAACAGTTAATTGTACTTGATACTGGATTATTAAGCCAACTTAAAAACATTCATATAGCATAGTGATTTGAGACATGAAATTCCAAGAAGGTATCTAAATACTCAAAATGTTTCATGAGAAAAATGATTTTTTGATAAGATTTCTGTTTCGTAAACTGTGACCTTTGAACTTGATGAAGGATGATGTCCCAAAACGACGAAAACTTAACTGCTAAACAAATCTAGAAACTTCGCCTCATGCTGTTCAAGTAAATACCTTGATTGGATTTTATTGTATTCATAACTTTCACTTTGAAAATAGCTATGGTCAATCCTAATTGATCGTTTCCATTCCCATAAGATTCAAAAGATGAAAGACCGGAGCAGGTGTTGGAGGAATGAACAATAGATACTAAATGAGAGATCCTTTGTTGAAGTTTATTTTGTGTAAGAGTTTAAACTCAAAGTACTAATCTTTTACGCAACAAAACACCAGGATTTTAAAGAAAACTAATTTCAAACTAACATTCAGAATCTTTGATGGTTTTTTTGAATTTCAATAATTATAACATTACAATACAGTGCAATTAAGCTAGTTACTATTACAGCGTGAGATGACTTAATGTTTTAAATTCCTCAACATTCTTACTTAAAACAACTTAAATAGATCAAGAAAGATATAGAAATAAAGAAATAAGTTTTTGGAAATTTTGACCTTTTACCTCAATGAAAATGATCAAAATTTACACTTTGACAGAATTAAAACTAATAATTTGGCAAATCTTTAGCTCAATCGCAACTCTTGCTGCGATTGAAAGATGTTAGCAAACTTTTATTATACGACCGTGCATATTGGAACCTGGACGCGAGTAAATTGAGTAATCTGATTGGCTTAGTCGATTTTTCACTGTTTTAGATTCTCATGGGTAGAATGATTGCGCTGTTTTGAATTTTTGCAAATTGAATTTTTGAAATTCGACTTAACGCTATTTAACGAAACTTCAGATGGCTAATCCGCAAAAAGCGTAGAAGATTTTAACTGCATGAAAATTTTTTTGCTATCTTTGGATTACTTTTTTAAAATGAAAGCGGTCATATAATAAAACTCGCTCTCGCTCTTTACTTCCCGTCGCGGTCTAGATCTTTCTATCTAGACCATGCGCTCGGTTAATTAAGACTTAAAATTTTTAATGAAGAAATACAGATGTTTTGAACGTGGGATAGACAGTGGCAAGCCGAACCAAAACAGTGCTTTTTTTTGTTTGTTTTTGTTTTCAATTTTCGGTTTATTTCTCAAAGAGAATATTTCTCGTCTAAATAAAATTTCAGACGATACTGACTCGATCGTTAATCGTCTTTTTTCGAATTAGGAAATATAACTAGACTTACCATTCTACTCTACTTTCCTTAACTCCAGAGAGTTCTTAGCTGTAATCTATAAATATTTTACCAAAATATTTGACTGAAGGAAGAACACGAACCAATTACACTCACTTTTTCTGTTTTTTGATTTTTTGTTTTTGTTTTTGTTTTTTTTTGTTTTTTTTGTTGCAGACAACAATGAGATTTAGGGATATCGTTTTCAAATTTCGGCTCCTTTTTATCGCCGTATGCATACCATTTATCAATGGATGTTACATGTATCGTTTCGTCCCCATTGCTGACGGACAGGCTTTGGAAGACCACGTTATAAGGACCATTCATAAGCCTCTAGTCGTTTTTTGCTGGGGGGAATGTGCTTGGTCGCCATGGTGTTTTTCGATAAATGTCCGACAGACAAGGCAAGGGATGTTTGAATGCGAGCTGAATAACTCTAGCAAGAAAGCAAATCCATCCAAGATGGCGCCCAGAGAAGGATGGTCTCTTCACGAAATGATTGTAAGAATTTAAACCTAATTTGTCACCAAATTGCATGAATGTGTATTAATTATATGCTTTTTTTGAGTCGTTGTGCCTTATGTTTCAGTGTTTTTTGTTTAGTTTTTTAGTTTTTTTAGTTTTCCTTGATTGTTTCTCCTGTTGGTTAGCAAACTAAATGCAATTTTCCATCTTAGTTTTCAAGTCAAAAAAACTGTAAAGTCTACAAATGCATATGGAAAGAAGGTACTCAGTGGAAATATCCAAAAACATGCCAAACGAAGAAGATTTCATCTCTCAGTGCCATCCAACATTATTTTAAAAACAAAACCTTTTCAGCCATCCAATAAATCGCTTGGAAAAGAAAAAGGTTCACACATCGAATACTAAACAACAAAACCAGCAATGTTGGATGGCTTTGAGAAAATGTTTAGCCTAATTCAGCATGAAGTGTGCTGAATCTTCTTCAAAGAAGGAAAAATCAATGTTGGCCAAACGCCAATCCATTGGCGCCGCCCAACCTTTAATAACGGAAATAGTGCAAAAGAGTGTTTGACTTGAAATTCTATTGAACACTCCAATGCTCCTTCCATGTATGTGGCAAAAAATTGCTAGCTACTTTCACATATTTGATGTAGCATCTCAGAGAACTGGACTAGACTATGATGACCTGACTTACCATTTTTTGAAGTACCTGTATTTTTCTATAGACTTGGGAGATGGATGGCGTCGTTATGGAAAGAGTGCCATCAAGCTCATCACAGAGAAGAAAAACTGGACCGATGCTCGTAGCCATTGTCAGTCATTAGGTGGTGATCTTCTCTCTATTACCAGCTCACACGAGAATGACTTTGTCAACGATGTCTTTGTGGAGAGCCTGAATTTGACGTACATACAAGGTTAGTGAGTCAGCTTTAATCGACTTGAGGATATTTGGATGATAATAAGGTGGGGTCCCTTGGCGACTTGGGACAACTTTCTGTATTATCGGGTTATTACCTTATTTCCCTTACATTTCCCAATTCTTTTTCCCCCGGCATCTAATGACATATTTATAAAATGATATCTTATAATAGTGTAGGCCTCCCAACTGGTCCTTAAGTTACAGCAATTCAAGGCAACTTTGAAAATTTAATGTGATATCAAAAATATACGGACAATATATGGCAATTTAGTCCAAATTACGCCGAATTATTGCTCCCTTTCCCTTTGTTGTTCCCATAAACTTTCGTTTATGTTTGAAAATAAAAATACATCGTAATATAAGCAAAATCCTATAYTCTTTATTATCACTTTATGCTCTATGAATGGAGATACTGTAAGATTCGATCTTTAAACGATTGATGKAAACGGATTGGGAATGGATATGATCGAAGTTACCTCATTTTCCAATGAAAAATCTAAAACCGCAGTGAATGCTGGTGGCCGCCCCTTTAAGGCTACATATTAATTAAGTCGACGAAGGCCTTGGTGCTTTTGTTTTTAATTTTCTTGTCTTGTTTTACATTTGCAGAGAAAGATTTAAGTTCTGACCACATCCATTTTAAGCTAAACGGAGACGATCCTAGTGTCGAGTAAGTATAAGTTATCGTCAGGAACTTGGAACTGAATCAAAGAAATGGTTATATATAGTTAGAAACAGTTGTGTAAAAAGATAAATTAAAACGTAAATAGGTAGGTTAAACAACTTACTGACGTTTCTAACATTTAGATCCTTCATCCTACTTTTTGACCATGTTAAATTGATCTTGTTTTAATATATACAACTGTTTCTTTAGAAACACCGACGCAGCTCTNTTTTTTTTTCTAGAGATTTTCAACTTTCTCTTTTCAACTTTTTAAGAACATAATAAAGGAATCGCCCGGGACGCCTGCTACAATTGGATGTTTATGGCTCCATGAGGCCTTTCGTCACAAAAATTTTTAAAAAATACAATGAAAATAGAAAAAACGAGCAAGGAATTTCGTATACATTTTAAGCAGACTTGAAAAAAGTTCACATGATTTTGATTTTGAGTTTTTGATAAATTTGATACACAGAAATTCGGCATGTCTGCGGAGTCTGCAATCTCGATGCAATCAGATTCGCTGGGATATAAATTTGATATATAATTTTAAGGTTATCATGACTGTTCTGATTCTGTTTTCAAAACTACCTATCAAGATGTTGTTCTAGCTATGCGTAGTATTTGAGCGAGACCACATATCGTAATCTTTAAATTCGTATGTTATTTTTCCATCCATTCCAACAGGTTCATTTGTAAAGATCCTGTGTCTTGGCTTGAACCTCGAAAAGGAATCTCTCTTAGCGGACAGTGGGAACTCAAGATGCTGGGTGTTCATTCTTCCGGCGGGAAGAGTGCTTCTTGCCTCTTTRYCACCTCTAAATTTGTCTGCACTATTATTTTGTAAACTATTGTTATTTTGTACTTCAAGAGAACAAAACGACACCTTTTTTCCTTGATGATCATGCGTAGACAGTTTCCTATCACWTTTAAGAATGGRCTCAAGCTTAGGTGAAGACTTACTTAAATTCTCTCTTGAATTCATTCTCCTCTTTCTAAATACAAATAATTTATCTGTTCCTAAATTTGATAATGAAGGCTTGTAAACATTCTTTTTTGGTTCTTTGGTGTTGAACATTGAAGATGATGTAATTAGACAATCTTTCATATCATCTTTGTGTACACTTTGGAGAGGCTCATGGTTTAATTTAATAGCTGTATTGTTTGTCTTTGGTTTAAACACCGAAGCTGGTACTGTTTGTTTTTTGTAAGGTGTTTTGGCAAACCAAACACCGAGCGTGTTATCATCTGTGAAGGGCAGGTGAACTTTTCCATTTGTAGCTCTTTTCTCAGTAGAAATTCTTTCAAAAGAAATTTCACGATTTGTGAGCTTTGGTCTTTTGGTAAAGTCGATGGTTGAMAGAATTTCACTTTTGCAAGGATTCTTTGGCTTTTTAGGCAAAATGAGTTGTTCTTTCGAATTTGAATTTCTGTTTGCTGAAAAGATGAACTCTTTTGTATTGTTTCTCAATTCAAAAGCATCTTGATCTCTCCAAGGTGCAATTTGCTCTTCTTTTTGTAATCTTGCCTTTTGCAAGTCCTCCCTCGAAAGCCTCCATTCTCTCTCCTTGTTTATCATATCCATAGTCGAACTCTTAAAGCTTCCGCAAGTCTTTGGACGAAAATCATCCATTTTCGCAACAGAAGGAAACAGCTCAAAGAAAACTCCAGAAAAATGTTCCCAGCATTCATCAGTGTATGTATCGTCACTTACTGGGGAATTAGGTGGCACATTACCTTCCTTTRTCGTTCTAAATTCATTCAGTTTCAATGTTTCCTCAGCTTCTTGACTAGCTGCACGTCTTTTATAAGATTCAAGATCTTCTACCTTATCTTCTATGTTAGCAGACACAAATGACTTAGTTTTTTTAGTTTTCTGTTTCTTGAAGACACTTGAATGTGTCTGGGAATCTAGACTCTGCATCAGCTCCATCGCTGGCCTTGACTTTAAAGGGTGTGATGTCATAGTAATAGTACCTCTTACTTTAAAGCTTTAATTTTATTAGCATTTACATTGGTTAATTAATTAATGTTTGTTGAATGTCAATAACGAGAAGGGAAAGTACCTGCATAGTGAAATCCTATATTCATATATTGTTTCTCTATGAATTATGTAAATAAAAAACTCTTAAATGTGTTCTACTTTGTTAATCTTTGAATAAAAGAAAGAAACAGAATTGCTAGAGTTGAACTGTGGTGCAGGTTATATGAAAAATGAAAGACAAATAAAACAACTTAGTCGCTACTGTGATATTTCAGTCATTGGTAACTTTCTATGTTTCTATGTTGCTCATGGACAGGAAACTAAAATGGAGACCATTCAAGCAGTCAAAGGGTAAAATCTAACACACTTTAAATTAATTTTAATAAACCTTAAACGATTTAGACAAATGTACAGATTACAGTCTCATTATGAAATATTGTTGTTCATCCGTTCTTARTAATTTTAATACTTTGATTAATATATCATTGGATTTATTTACATCAAAAGCTCATCACGTGATAGTGACGTCGTAAAAACATAGAATCCTATTGTAGAGCTTCAATCCGCTATTAAAACGTTTGATTTTTCAAGTAAATTTAGTTTATTTGTCTTTATTCAATCAAATGATACTAATCTATGCAGGGGTTTTGATTGATACAAACTCACCAAGAAAGAGGAATAAGAATGGGCCCTTTTTCTTSCGCTTGTATTCACCCTACTTCRCTCCGAGTAAGGCCTAATGAAAACTTTGAACTAGAAAAAATAAACATTTACTTCSACTACTCTTTAAAGCGAGAGTTTCTTCCCTAATAACCATAAACAGCATTAAACTATTTTGTAGTTAATATATACACTTAACAAGATGATAAGCCTTATTTTTTTTATAAAACAAAGGCCTTCCTTCTGCTCTCTGCTCTTTTGTAGCTCTTAATTCAACAATCGTTTGAATGGCACAAGTGTTTACTTTCTACCCCAAAGTCTTTGTATGAATGATCTTCGGTCCCARTTTGAAGGAAGTGGTTGGTCATTGTTTATGCAGCAGCTAGGTTTGCATTTGGGTGCGCACGCGTTTGGACAGTTTGGACTTGGACACGTTAACTGTGGTGGAGGTGGTGCTGGTGCTGAAATAACAAAGCAGTTCTTACGTTGATCATAATATAAAGCCAACAATAGTGAGATGTRAAATTAATCTTAACCARCTTTATGTATCATATTCATGGYGTGCAAGTTACGGCTTCGCCGCCATRTTGGATGAAGATCACAAAGCATTCCTCRTTASTTKCTCTTGTTYATTTATCSAACATGGCGGCGATAGCTTTGTTCTTATTTCTCAGGGGATTCTTGATCACGTGTTTGAACACCAAGGATACGGAAAATCAAAATAGATCTGTGGATTCGTTTGTGAGAAATCTTATTGCCCATGTGGCCTTATCTTAGAGGAGATACACAAAGAAAAAGGAAAATGTCATTTCTTTATGTATTGCTTTCTATTCTTTTTTGAAAWGTAAAAAGCCACAGCATGTTAGACAAGGGAAAAGGCAAAGGAATAAGGGATGGTTGGCACATGAAAGTCGTGCACAAATGCGGGATCCTGTATTTTTTCAATGAGAGTTTTAGAATCAAAGGATGAGCTAGATAAAATGGACCCACCAGCACAGCATGATGTCGCGCAGGTAGGTGCACATATGTTAGGACACTGTCCTGGACAGGTTGAAGCCATTCCTAATGGTTTGAGACCAGGAGATCCAGAATGCATTGGTGCCACTGGTACTGCTATTGGATGAGCTGCTGCCAAATGGACTGGTGGGTGTGGTGCCATGTGGACTGGTGGCACGTGGACAACTTGCGGAGCTAATTTTAAAACCGGYGAGTATTWAATAATCTTATAAAGTGCAGTTACTTGACTCGATTAACGACTGACAATCTGAGAATGGTCGAATTAATGTTTATAATTAAAGTTTTACCTATGCAACATTGACGAGTGCAGCCTGGTGCGCAACTATTTGGGCACATTCCTGGGCATGTACTGGCTTGACCCAATGGGGAAAGACCAGGACTTGGTGGTCCTGGAAGTGGTGGCACTGATGATGCTGGTGGAACATGGACAACTTGAGGGAATTCTAAATTRATGAAAASAAATTAGCTTGGTCCACTTGAGATTATTTGAGACAATCCTTTCTTGGAAATCTTCAACCAACTATTAACATCTACATAACTAAAGTCAATTCCCGGAGCAAGCAATATTCAAAAAGATAACATCGTTATTGTATACATAAGGAGTGGAATGAGCTACCAGAAGAAATCTTCCATCGTGCAAATGGTAGCCACGAGGCCTTTAGGAGCCTTATAGAACACTTGTAAACTTGTCTGACCACCCTACATATAAGCTTCCCAGGGAAGGGTTGTAGTATTGTGAAATAAAYAATAATAAAATATACATACGTTGACAACAAGACTGCGAGCATGCAGGTGCACAAGCGCTCGCACATCCAGCAGCGCACGTAGTTGAGGCTTGTCCAAGTGGGCTTAGGCCAGGGCTTCCTGCATAGCCAGGGACAAAACTAATGGGAGGTAGTGGAATCACTTGCGTTTGGCAGCACGCTGGACTACAACTTGGTGCACAGGATTGTGGGCACGAACTTGGACATGCTCCTAATGTTTAATGAATACAAATATTAAYAGGAGTTAATATGGAAACAGGTGACACATGTTAATGATCACTAAGTTGACGAGTCTTCCTGTTGTAATTGTAATTAGGACTAAGGCAGTTTTCTTTTTCTACCTGGTGTAGCTTGAGGATAATAAGATTGAGTTGATGGAAATGGAATATCTGTCATTCCAAAAGGCTCAGTCATTTCTCCAAATGGATCTGTCGTTGCTTCAAAAGGGCTTGTTGTAGGGACCATGCAAGGTTGTCCGGGTCGTCTTTGTCTTWGACCTTGACATGGCATTGGTCTACGTGGTGGTGGTGTTGCTCTATATAAACTAGGGAATCTAAAACCGAACAAACATATTTCAGCTTAATGAATTGCAAAAACCTTTTTTTTAAAAAATTTTGATCTAATTGATAAATTGTTGGGTGTGGCTTTTCATTGAAGACTCAAGTTTACTAGTCTGAAGACTATTACGCGCTATCCTATGAAAATAAAGACTTATAATGATGACGATGATTGCTTCTTAAGTGATTTCCCTGTCCAGTTCTTTGATACTCAATAACGAATCTTCAATGAATTACCTCGCTCTTTGAGGCATTGCAATGGGATGTATATATTGTGGGTCTCGTAATTTTGTCTTCAGCTGCTCCGTCTTTCTGTCCACAATCTTTGGTGGTATTGCTGGATGCTCAACTTTAGGTGGTGGATCATTATGCTGGACTTTYGGTGGAAGTGGAGGATCATCATCAAAGTGCAGATGTGTGGGTAAGCAGCATTCAAATCTGCATTTTGGATTGCATAGATTCAGGCATTTCCTAATGCAAAGTTTTCCATCTTGTTTCTTCTCAAAAAGAATTGATTTTGGTTTGGGAGCTGAAGCAGGTGCTGKAGCTGGACCTGGYGSTGAYGGTTTATCTTCAGCTGTCATAGGAGCGCCAGGGWTCATGGGACGACTGTKTAAACCAATAGGACGAGAGTGGCAACATGCTAAARA